GTGTGTGTGTGTGTGTGTGTGTGTGTGTGTGTGTGAGAGAGAGAGAGAGAGAGAGAGAGAGAGAGAGAGAGAGAGAGAGAGAGAGAGAGAGGAATTGTGTGATGTGAGGTGATGTATTCTCTCTGGTTTAAGTAAATTGTCAGTGGAGAATAGTCTTACCAGAGCAGCGAAGCTCTCCTCTGTGAAATTGCTGGTAGAATAGAAGGGAGGGAAGGGGAGGGGAGGGGATTTGTTCTTGTTGTGGAGCAGTTCTGTGAAATTTTGGCGGGAGGAATTTGGAGATGAGAGCTTGGAAGAAAACTAGGGGAAAAAAAAAAAAAAAAGTTCTGCGAGTCAATGTTTTGTTTTTAACTTTTTGTTTTCCTTTTCCCTCTGTTACTTTTATTTTGGGGCTCAAATATTTTGATTTCGTATTTTTTAAATTTTTCTTGTGGGTTCTTTGTGAAGTGAGGTAGGCGCTCATAAATTTTCAGGGGATTTGCGTGTTATCAAAAAAAAAAAAAAAAAAACGCGCCAAATATTGCTGTGTAAAAAAGAAGAAGATAGTGGGTGGGAGAACATTTTTTTGACACCGCCATCCTCAGCGCCCCCCCCCTTGCCCCCCTTATGCAGCTGTTGCAGCAGCTTTTTTTTTTTTTTTTTCCCCTCCTCTGCTGCAGTTACACTGCTGCAGCTGTTGCAGCAACTTTTATTTATTTCCCCCCCCTCCTCTGGTGCAGTAGCTGCAGCGACTTTTATTTATTTTTTCCCCCTCCTCTGTTGCAGCAATTGCAGCAGCTGCAGCCGCACCTGCGGCTGTTGCAGCTGCTGCAAGTGCGGCAGCTGCAGCATCAGCAGACCCCCCCCCAACCCGTCTTTTATTTTTTTCAAACTTACCCAAAACTTTTTATAGGGCTTCCCACGCCGACCGCAGACACCGCCTATTTTTGAAAAACACGTGCCCCCCCACATTGGCCGTAAACCAGTTGTTGGGGATCCCTGGGGATCCCCGACAACTACTGTCTTCGCCCGAACATAACGCACCCTGATAATGGACGTATGCAAGGCATGTTTCTGGCCCAATACAGTCAAAATGAGTGGCCCAATACAGTCAAAATGAGGGTGCGTTGTGTTCGGGGGAAGATGGTAGGGTCCAGGAAGAAAATGAACGTACGCAAGGCATGTTTCTGGTCCAATACAGTCAAAATGAGGGTGCGTTGTGATTGGGGGAAGATGGTAGGGTCCAGGAAGGTCCGACCGAGACGTCCGGCCCAAGTGTCCAGGGTAACCTGGCTGAAAATATAGTTGTATTTTGGGGGGGGAGCCCAATTTCGTTAATATCAAAGGGATAAGTGAATCTTAACTAAATGGCTGTTCAATATGTACATTGTGCTCTGATGCTTTCACCAAAGCAGAAGCAGCAGAAGCAGAAGTAGAAGCAGAAGCAGAAGTAGAAGCAGAAGCAGCAGCAGCAGAAGCAGCAGCAGCAGAAGCAGAAGCAGAAGAAGAAGCATCAGCATCATCATCATTATCATTTTCATCATCATCATCATCAGCAGCAGCAGCAGCAGCAGCAGAAGAAGAAGAAGAAGCATCAGCGTCGTTATCATTTTCATCATCATCATCAGCAGCAGCAGAATAAGAGGAAGAAGAAGAAGAGGAAGAAGAAGAAGAGGAAGAAGAAGAAAAACAAGTAGTAGCTCAAGTTCTCGCAAAACTGATAGTACATCTCATCTGTAGGCTGCAGCAGGTACACCAATCAAGCATCTCGCTGTGGACTGCAGCCGACCGCTGGATCACTTGGATTGGTGATCGTTGGATTGGTGGACGACAGAATATCGTTGGATCATGTTACCGTCGACAGTGATCAAAAGCGGATAACGCAGACATTGGGTGTTGCTCGACTTCTCTACGTTTGACATGTATCTGGACTGTTTCACACACAGTATACATTCCAGCTGATCCAACATTTTGAATGCACAAGGACCACCTGCAGATCCAGATGAATTTCGAATGTTCTAAAGTGCTGCAAGGCCCATTATTTATGGATATGGTTATACTCTCATTCATTGGTTGCAGTTGCTGTGAGCCTGAGATGCGAGCCTCAGGGCACACGCACGCTAGGACATCTTCTACTCAGCTCTAGACGTTATTGCGGTCAGATTCATTCGGTTTCTACTCAGCTCTAGATGTTATTGCGGTCAGATTCATTTGGGTTGGACTGTATTCGCAGACAGATTATGTCCCTGGGATTTGACATGCTTTGTTGAGTGGGGTTGGGGGTGGGGTGGGGATAGAGGGGGGGCGGGTTGGAAATCAAGGAGAATCTTCGCTGAGCGGGCAAGCCTCTGCTTTTTTTTTTTTGTGTGTGTGGGGGGGGGAAGGGGAGGGCAGGGATGGAAGAAGAAAAGCGGACCCAGTGCCACAAGTCTAGTATTCAAGAAACGTGCAGTAAACAAGCCATGAAACCCACTGCTCCATCCCCATTAAACCATCGGTACACCCAGGCCTGGAGGCACTCCACTACGCGGCAAGCTTTCCCGCGAGCGGCACAGTTTTTTCCTTTTTTGGCTGGCAACACCAGCCATTGTGGTCCCGTAGCAGTTTTTTCCTTTTTTGGCTGGCAACACCAGCCGTTGTGGTCCCGTAGCAGTTTTTTCCTTTTTTGGCTGGCAACACCAGCCACTGTGGTCCCGTAGCCCCGAGCCGTGAAAATTTCCCGTGCCTGGAGGCTCTGCGTTGGGCGGCAAGCTTTCCCGAACTGCCAGCGGTGCAGTTTTTTCCTGTTTTGGCTGGCAACATCAGCCATCATGATGATTGTGGTTCGGTAAGCCCCGAGCCGTGAAAATTTCCCGGGCTTGGAGGCGTTGGTGCATTGCGTGGCAAGCTTTCCTGGACCACCAGCGGTGCAGTTTTTTCCTGTTTTGGCTGGCGACATCAGCCATGATGATTGTGGTTCGGTAGCCCCGAGCCGTGAAAATTTCCCGGGCCTGGAGGTGCTGCGTTGGGCGGCAAGCTTTCCTGAACCACCAGCCGCGTTGCATTGGGCGACAAGCTTTTTCCTGAACTGCGAGCGGCGCAGTTTTTTTCCTGTTTTGGCTGGCAACATCAGCCATGATGATTGTGGTCCAGCGGCCCCGAGCCGTGAAAATTTCGGAGTTGGCAGCTCGCAAAATTTCGGAGTTGGCAGCTCGCAATTTTCTACAAGGCCGCGGCCGTGTACTGGCGGCGGTTTAAGGCTGGAACAACGATCCGGGCCCGAGGTCCGCGGAGAGAGATTTCATAACCATTTACTAGGATCAGGCTAAATCAGGCTATAATAATTTTATAAGGGGCAACGGCTCCTGGGTCACACGGGGGACTCACACCCAGCGCTTCAGATAGCCACAACTTTAACAGTTCTTGAAACGGGCCCAAAAAAAAGGCCGCCACTAAATCTGCATTGGAGCCACTTCACTTCAAAAAAGAACGGCGGCAGTTTCAGGCCCCCACTGAACTTGCACATTTTGAAACTCGAGAGTCGAAACAATGACATGGTCCCTGCCTTGTTGTTTCTTGCCTATATTTGAAACGAAAAAAGGTGGACCCCTGAGAAGGTTCCCCTAATTTTAAACTGACTGTGTTTTGGTAGGGCTGCCCTGGTAGAGTCCTTATTCATTTGCTAGGGGGCAGCCCCCCGCTG